CTTCAATTCCCATTAAGAGCATGTACCTCAGTTGCAGGCTCGATCCCTGGTCACGGTATCGGGAGGCAACCAATCGATGTATCTCTCTCATATCGATGTTTCTCTCTCTTTTCTCCCCCTCCCTTCCACTCTCTCTAAAAATGAAAAAATATCCTTGGGTGGGGATTAACAGGAAATAATAATAACAATGGCCAAAGGGATTTTCAGATGACTATTTCTGTTTTGTGCAACTAAGGGATAGAGTCTATTCACAAGTTAAAAGAGAAAATAGTTCTGTGAAGCAGTGCCATAATTAAGAATTTTGATTCTTCGATATTCTTGCCAAAGTATCACATAGTTCAGACACTAACTTCACCCTCAAAGCACTCATTTACCTTTCCTGTTTATTTTTATTAATTTTTTGCAGGGGATGTTCTATTCCAGCTCATTACCATGCAATGCTAGAAAACAGATTATTAAAATAGTCAATAAACTTAAAATTTACTCAAAAACCTGCATGCTTATGCAGCTTTACTCACAATTGCCAAAATTTAGAAGCAACCATGCAACTAACCCATGCAACTTTCATAGGTGGAGAGATAAAGTGTGATAAATCCAGACAACAGAATATTATTTAGCACTAAGAAGAAATGAGCTATCAAGCCATAGGGCATGAGGAAACTTATATGTGTACTAGAGGCCCAGTGCATGGATTCATGCACCAGTGGGGTCACTCGGCCTGGCCTGCACCCTCTCAGAATCTGGGACCCCTCAGGGAATGTCGGATAGCTGGGTTTGGCCTGATCCCTGCAGGCCCAATCCAGACAGGAAGGAGCCCAATCCTATGCAGTGAGCATCTGTCCCCTGGTGGTCAGTGCATGTGTTAGCAACCGGCCAACCGGTCGTTTGGTTGCTTAGGCTTTTATATATATAAATTTCTAAGTGAAAAGTCTATCTGAATATGCTACATACCATATGATTCCAACTATATACCATCATGGAAGAGATAAAACTATGAAGACAGTAAAAAGATCAGTGGTTCCAGGGGCTGACAGTAGGGAGAAATGAATAGGTGTCGCACAGAAGACTTTAGAGCAGTGAAAACACTGTATGATACTATAATGGAAGATACATGTCATTATACATTTGTCCAAACCCATAGAATATACACCAGAATGAACTTTAGTGTAATCTGTGGGTTTGGGGTGATCATTATGTGTCAGAGAAGGTTCACCAACTGTAACAAATGTACCACTCTGGTGGGAGATGTTGATAATGGGGAAGACTATGTATGTGTGGAGGAGAAGGGGTATATGGGAAATCTCTGTACCTTCCTCTCAATTTTGCTGTGAAGCTAAAACTGCTCTAAGTAAAAGTCTTTTTAAAAAATCATACGGGCCAAAACCGGTTTGGCTCAGTGGATAGAGCGTCGGCCTGCGGACTGAAAGGTCCCGGGTTCGATTCCGGTCAAGGGCACGTACGTTGGTTGTGGGCACATCCCCAGTAGGAGATGTGCAGGAGGCAGCTAGTCGATGTTTCTCTCTCATCGATGTTTCTAACTCTCTATCCCTCTCCCTTCCTCTCTGTAAAAAATCAATAAAATATATTAAAAAAAAAATCATACGGATCAGAGGTTGAACTTATAGCATAACCTATGTTCACAGTCTCATACATTTCAAATCAAAAGAAAGTAGTCTAATAGGTTATATAAAACCAGAGGCCAGGTGCACGAATTCATGCAATCGGGGGTGGGGAGGCGTCTCAGCCTGGCCTGCACCCTCTTGCAGTCCGGGAACCCTCAGGGGATGTCCGGCTGATGGCTTAGGCCCACTCCCCCAAGCAGTCAGACATCCGTAGCACTGCCGCGGAGGCAGGAGAGGCTCCCGCCACCGCCACTGTGCTCGCCAGCTGTGAGCCCAGCTCAAGGCTTCTAGCTAAGCAGCACTCCCCCTGTGGGAGTGCACTGACCACCAGGGGGCAGCTCCTGCATTGAGCATCTGCACCCTGGTGGTCAGTGTGCATCATAGCAACCAGTCATTCCCCATTGGTCGATTTGCATATTAGCCTTTTATTATATAGGATAATCTCAGCTATCATTTATATTCATATTTAAAATGTCCATGTGAATGAACTTGAAATGTCTGGCTACACTCTTAGTTTTAAGAAGCAGAGGCACAAAACCCAGAAACTCAAAATAAAAATATATAAACAAATAAAATAGAAGCGTAGAGCCTGCCAGATAATCTTGTTTCTCACCAGTCCTCTTTGCTGTGCTGTATTTGTTGCTTTGGTTGATCAAAGTTAAACTGTTCTACTCACACTATATATGAGAAATCAGTATCAGTTAGGCCACATTCAAGACACAACCTTATTCAGTGTGTTCAGTGGTATACGTATGCACATATGCAAAATTCATGGTAATCGAAAGGTTTCCTTAGCAATAGAAATTAAAATCTCCCATCTCAGATTGTTACAAAGAAAAATAATCTGAAGGCAGTAAGACAACCAGTTCAATTAACTTTTACAAAGCACCTACTATGTGGGAAAGACTGTGCTAAATGCTGAGTAGTGAAGGGGCAAAAGAAGGGAGGGGTCGCTGTACCAACACTTGGAATAGATGTTTGCTTATTGCAAAGTACTCCTTTATTATGGGACATTGGGGTGGGGACAAGGTTCTGCTGACCCAAGTACTATAAAAATTGTTTCTCATAAAACTAATGTTGCACAAAATTCAATTTTTAATGACCATTGTCTACCACAGCTTACAATCAAGAGCCAGTTCAAACAGGTATAAGAAAATCAGAGACAATATAAAACATTTATCCTAATGACCAATCTTGGTTTGAATATAAGAATTTAGTAGGCAGTGGGGATAGAGTATAAATAAATCAGCACTACAGGGAAGTTGGAGAATGGGGACAAAGTGTTAATATGTTAAAGATTTTTTAAATTAAGAACTATTTCTCCCCAACCTTGCTTAGTCTTGAGTGGATCAACTTATTCAACTGGAGCCACAGAATAAAGATTATTTTAAGGCACAACCAAAAATTGTGGGCCTATATGAGGCTCAAAGGGTGATTGTTTCTCCCTTTTTCTGACAGCTAAGTGTTAAGAGAATTATAAAATGATCTTATACTGCATATCCATCAAGGTCTACATCTTTTTTTTTTTTTTCTCTTGTGGACATTTTAATGAACTTCTCTCCATGTAGCTTCAAGCTACCCAGACACAGGCCTCACCAACACCCTTAATCTTCTCCTCAGCTCTTCTGCTAAAGAATTTAGCCTTCACAATGACAGGCTGCTTTGGGAGTTTTCCCTTCTCCAGAACTTTGAAGTAGCCCAATCACACTACATCAATGATAGGAGCAGCTCCAGTCTTGTTTTTGGCATTTACCGAGTTTGCTCACTGACCAAGGTCCATAGTTTATCTATGTTGACAGTTGGACAGAAACTCTAGTTCCTCTTTAAGTGGTAATGCTTCATACCAAGTTTCCCAAAGTAGCCTGGGTGATATTTGTCGAAGTTGATCCTGTGATGATGCAAGCCACCAGCATTACCTCGGCCCCCGGGGTGCTTCCTGTGCTTGCCAATGCAGCTCTGGCCATGGCTCACGTAGCCCTGAAGTTCCCAGGTCTTCCTCAGTCTGGATGGCATGTTGGTGGCCGAGATGCCAGAGGGAGGCTCTTTCGAAGTCTCGAGGTCTACATTTTGAGCAGAAATGTTTATTTTCGCATAAGGAACCTAAAGGTGATAAAGTGGTCTTACACAGTGGAGATCAGGTGACTTTCCATGGCAACTGTGAAGATGGCCATGCATCTTCATGCAATGTAAAGGACCAGAGAGCACTCCATGGCAAACAGGCTACCAAGCCATGCTCTAGAGCTACTGTCCAAAGGGTAGCTTCAAGCCACATGTGACTATCTAAATTTAACCAACATTAAATAGCACTAAAGAAAAGTCGTCTATTGGCACCAATTATACCAGGTATTCTACCCTTAAGTGAAAAATCGGCAACAGGATATGATTTATTATAAGACTTATTACAGTTCAAAAAATTCAATTATAGAATCTAGATTGGCATATGAATGTTCATTTTATAATTGTCTGAAAATTTTCATAACACAATGTTGGAAAAAATGTCTTCTAATAAACTCGGTTACACTAGACAAATCTCAAGTACTCAGTAGCCACATGTAGTAGCTAGTGGCCACTAATGGACTGCAGTCACAGAATATTTCTATAATCTCAAAGTTTACTGGACAGAGTTGCTCTCGTCTAGCTGCTCAGGAGTCCAGGCAAGACTGCTGAGACTAATTCTTCACCTTAAGGTCAGGCCCGACTGGTCCCTGGGGCAGGTGGTTCATACTAACAGGACTACACATTTTTAAAGAGTAACAGAATACTAGGGCATGGTTACTGACAGGAGAAGAAATGAAAGGTCAAATCTATAGCAAAGGTTGAAGAGAACTGGGAAATATGAGTGGGACCTGTGTTCACTGGGAGTTAAAATATAAATATATAGGTACACATTTAAGTCTAAATTTTTAATAATTTTTAAGCTAAGAACTCATTTAGTTCCAACAGAGATACAAATATGTATTTGTGAAATGAGGAATAAGAGCATAATACAAGATAACTTGGGATACTGACTTTACCTTTGTAATCCTTGAGGAAATCACTGCTTATACCAAAAACATTTACATGTGAATAATCCCTAAGAATCTGTGATAAACGTAAAAAAACAAACAAACAAACAAAAAACCCAGAGCCTTCTGTGAACAACCTCTATACTTACCAAAACCTTAAATGCTATCAGGTATGGAAGAAATAAGGGAAGATCTACAATTGCCTTTATCTTTTTTTTTTTTTTAATTTTTTGCCTATAATGTGCCTGATACCTTTATTCTGGATACATATTCCTACCTGAAAGAATTTCTGCCAACACATGTACCTCCTACAACAATTTTTATTATCTTTAAATGGCAAGAGACACAGTCTCCTGAAAGAAAGCACTCTCCATCCAGGTTTGGTAAGTTTTATTGAAGCAAAATTTCAACAACAGGTGGCTTTTATTTACAGAATTCAATGCGTGTGGGGACTGTCCAACCCTCTTGGACACAAGTAAAAATAAGCATTAAGCCTGCTTATGTATTTTCTTATTTTCAGTTTGCATTAAAAAAAAAAATCTGTTTGCTTCACATTCATAGAAATCCCAATATTATAAATGACAAATAAACCCTCCCTTACTCATCCCTTAATTAAATATAAAAATAGCTACAAAAAGCATAATTCAGATAGGTTTAATCTTGAAATGTAATCCGATAAGACTAAAAACTAAACATTTCAGGTCCTGTACCAAATAGTAAAATACTCGAAGGCCTTCAGGATCCCTAAAATTGAAAGAGATAAAAGTTACTTTTTTGTTCCTAAAATGCAACAACTTAATTCTATAAATTAATTCCTAAAACAAAACAAAAATCTAAAACCATTAAAGGAATGCATCTTTTCTGTAAGAGAAAAAATAAAAAAATTTCTTTACCAGTATTTCATATTTAAAGTGTTTATTTTCTTATAATAGCAATGCATCACAAAAATGTATAAAGCAGATAAAATTATAAAGATAGATAAAATAATGTTCATAATACTATATAATGTCACTTTTCACAGAATAACTATAAACATTCTGGTGTTTCTCTATTTTCTTTACTAATTAAAATAATCCCTGTGCCCTTTTTTATTGTTGTTAATCCTCACCTGAGGATATTTTTCCACTGATTTTTAGAGAGTGGAAGGATGGGGAGAGACAGAGAGAAACATGGATGTGAGAGTGACACTCCCACACGTGCCTGACCAAGGCCAGGGATTAAGCCTGCAACCAAGGTACGTGTCCTCAATCAGAATCAAACCCTGTACCTTCAGTCCACAGGCCAAAGCTCTTTCCAATGAGCTAAACCAGCTAGGGAAAATTATTCCCTGTGCCATTTTTAACATTACTTTCCCCATTACATTAAAAAGAACTCACAAAAAATTTTTAATCAATTTAACAGTTCTCTCCTTATTAGACATTTGGACATTTTTCCAATCATAAATAAGGGTTCAATGACCATCTTTATGAGTAATAATGCTTTTTCATTATCCTATATAAAACCCTAATATGCAAATCGACCGAATGACGGAACAACCGGTCGCTATGATGTGCACTGACCACCAGGGGGCAGACACTCAATGCAGAAGCTGCCCCCTGGTGGTCAGTGCACTCCACTGCAGGTGGCAGTAAGGAGCAAGGGGTCCCGGACTGCAAGAGCCCCAGACTGCAAGAGGGATGTCTGACTGCCAGCTTAGGCCCAATCCCCATGGGAAGCAGGCCTAAGCCTGCAGGCAGACATCCCCTGAGGGGTCCCAGACTGTGAGAGGGCACAAGCCAGGCTGAGGGACCCCCCGCCGCCCCCGCCACCGATTGCATGAATTTCATGCACTGAGCTTCTAGTTTGAGAATATTTTCACAGAATAGACACTCAGAAATGAAATTACTACAGTGAAGATGGGTGAAAATTTAACGAAATATTGATGGCTTTTGTAGCAAATTATCAAATTGCTTTCTAAAAAACATGTACCAATTTATAATCCCAGTAGGGTATGAATGCCATACCCTCACCAACTATGGGAAAATAAATTTGATAATTTAAAAGTATCTGGTCAGTCTTTATGAACATAGCCTTTTATACCCAATAGTAATTAGGCATTCATTCCTCTCTCCTCTAATAAATATTCATAAAGTCTCTATTATGTGCCAGGCACTGTGCTAATATTGGAAATACACAAGGTTCTCATGGAGCTTACACACAAACCAGTAAAGCAAACAAAAAAGTTATTACAATTTAGAGTGATAGGGAAAAAAAAGGACACCAGGAGGATATTTTAAAGGTAAAGAGTGAAAAAAATAAAATAAAAATAAAAGTAAAGAGTGGAAAGAAATAAATGCAGAGGGATTTTTCAGGCAAAAACAGACAGGGAAACACAACTTGGGAAGACATACCTAGCTAAAGCCATTAAGCTATACTGGATTTTTTTTTTTTTATTATTATTCATCTGAAGATTAAATCCAAGGAGGAGAATGATGTGATGTGGAACGAAGGCGGCTGATATGCAATAACAATTTCTTTTAAATTTTGTGAGTGTCCAGATTTTTTTACAAAGTAGGTGATAAAATTTGGGCATTATTATTCATAGTTATCAGATTAAGATTTTTTTTGTGTAAATCAATAAATACACTGCTACCTTCTTTGACAGCAAGTCTTTAATGACATAAAAATCAGAATTTCATCTATATAATAAACAGACAGGGTGCCAATGAAATAATCTTAGCAAACTCGCTATAGTTCTAAAATGAACCTCTCTAATAAATTTTATCAATTAGTGAAAATGTTTTAACATACTCACTTTGACTGATTTACATCAATAAGAGAACCTATTTTTGATGTAGTAAAAGAAATGTGCTCATCTCCAATTACAATTTCAAGCTCCTGAAGAAAATAAAGAAATATAATTAAATATAGAAATCCATCCCAGAGATATCTATATTCTTGATACTAAGGGGGTCCCAATTTTAGCTGCAGGTTTTCTAACAATAATAGAGAAGGGCAGGTGGGACATAATCTGCTAGACATAAACTGTGTCTATAAAATAAAACAATAAGAACTTCAACACCTGCACAGGACTCCCCCAGTATTATGACTACCAAAATTACTCTGCAGAGATCTAATAAATATACTAAAAAATGAATGACATACTTAAAAGTGACACACAATTATTTCTTATATCAAGTAAACATTAAAGGCATCACTTTGGAGCACAATGTTGTAAAAATAATACGGTTTTACGCTTACTTATAATATAATAAATAAAAACACATTTACCCTTTTTACCAGGCTCTAAAAATAAAATGCATAATATTAATAACAGTACTACTTTAATATTATCAGTAATCTCTAAAATACGCTTATCAAATAGGCTTTATTAGACTACTTTTACAACTATGAAGTCCAAGACTCAGAAGTCAGAGGAAAAAACTTGTTTATAAACTGACTAGAGGCCTGATGCACGAAATTCGTGCATGAGTAGGCTCCCTAGGCCTGGCCAGCGATCAGGGCCGATATGTGGGGTAACCAGTGGGGTGATGGGGGCCCCCACTGGCATCTGCTTTGGCCGACCTGGTGCCGCCTGCTCGCTGGCTCCACCCCCCGCCACCACTGCCAGTCGCCTCCCTCTGCAGGGCGACCGGCAGGATTTGGGGCCTGTAACCTGCCTTGGCTGGCCTGGGGCCTGCAGGTTGGAGGCAGCTCCTGCATTGAGCATCTGCCCCCTGGTGGTCAGTGTGCATCATAGTGACCGGTCGTTCCACTGGTCATTCCACTGTTTGGTCAATTTGCATATTAGGCTTTTATTATACAGGATATTTGAATCGTGAACTGTAAGACTAAAAGATTGATACACTTCAACTTCACAAAACATCAAAATTAAAAACTATTAAATTAAACATAACATAATGTAGATGTTCCCAGTGTGCCATAATTATTGTATAATTTTTTTTCTATATTTTATCTGCAAACCTAAAACCATCAAATAAGAGACTGTATCTGTGGTCATTTTTCAAGTTAAATAACAGATGCCATTGAAGGCTGATCAGAAGACTTAAAGACTGACAGACAATTTCTGAAGCATGTCTAATCCTCCCCAATGACCAAAACACAAAACCACATCCTCAAGTGGGTAGATAAACTAGATTCTCTCTGAGTATAAAAGAGATATACAGTTTATTACTTATTGTTTCTGTTTTTTGTACATATGCATAAAACAGATCTAAATTTATTTTTTAAACGTGTTTTCAATGCATAAATACTATTAACTATTATGTTTGCTTCCTAAATAATGTTTCTTTAAATAGAAGAGTTAAATTACTACTACAGAGGGTCAACATCTGTTAAGATTTCTCCACATTTTCTTCTAGTCGAAGGTATTACAAACAAAAGTGAAATTAAATGTTTCTTCCTCCAAGGGTCATTATCTCTTTTCTCCAAGCATTGAAAAGCCCAATTTAGGAATTAAACTATCTTTCTACTGAGTGAAATCAGCCTTCAGAACTCTTCAGAAGCCCTCTGAGATACATCAATTACTCTGAAGAGAGTATGAGAGGCAAAGGCAGTGGTCAGCTTGAACAAAGAAACCAATCAAATCCCTCTCTGGGGCAAGAGATGAAAATAAGAGTTTTCAGAGTTATAAAGGAAATGTTACATAGTCAATGAAAAACTTAAATCACAAATTTAACAGATACCTATACTTATTCCTAAAAAAAAGTAATTAACATGTAATAGAAATTACTCACAACAGTGTGAAAACATCCTAGGGGTGGCTATAGAAGACTGTTGAGAAAGATGTCTAAATTTAGAGCTATATATCAACTCCTTTACTACTAGGAGGTAGCATAGAAAATGAGGAAAAGAAAAAGAAAATTTACCAGTTGTAAAAGTAGTCTAAAATAGAAAACTAAGGAATCAATGAGTGGCTAATATAAATAAATAAGGAGAAACATAACAATGATATTATCAATTTTAATATTTATGCATTTAAAGAATCACTATATACAAACCTGTCGGCCAACCCTGTCAGGGGGAGGCCACAAAGCATCATCTTCTTTTGTAATTTCGCTGTCATCAATAATTCTCTTCAGTTCTTCCATTACACTCTTGTGTACATAAGCCTGAAAATAAGTTGTAATAAAATTTCATGATGCCTCTCTATGTCTTCCCACGACTCAAAAGGAAATGATAAAATGGAGTTACAAACCCTAACTATTAGAAGAGAATATCAAAGAAAAATTTAATTCTGATTCCAAAGTATAACATCAGCTAGAATCATTCATCCTTCTTATCATGTTTCTTCACTCTCTTGCCCTTTCTTTTCACTCTTCACATCACTTAGCCCCCTTTTAAAACCTGTATTCTGTCCTGGTAACATGGGACTCAAATCTCTCCAAGTGGTTAATGGTGACAACAAAAAAATCTATGAGTTGAACAGAGACAAAGTACACATCATAGTGACTGAACTTTTTCTTATCCCTAACTTTTAAGCCTTTCATTTAAAATTCTTAGTGTGCTTAAATCATAATTATCATTTTAAATAGTGAGTAAAAAGACAAATTAATTATAAAATGAATTAAATGATATGTTCAAATGTGGGACTACAGCTTAATATATTCAGATTGCTTCTTTTATTGTTACAGATGCTACAATTATATCTAATTTAAGCAGAATTCCTTTTCAACACATAAATTGGCTTCTTCTTTACAATACAGCCTTATATATACTTTTGTAAATTCAACAGACATAAGGAAAATGGCTAACTGTAACAATTAGACATTCCAAAAGAACTTACCTCTTTTCTGATCATGACATCATTTTTGTAATTGCTATTGTTGGCATATCTAAGCTTTCCTGTGGGGAGTGGAAAAAAATTCAATCTATAACAGCAAAAACTGCTAAAAAAAAAAAATAAGGGAACGACACCGTAAGCAATTTTGAAGATAAACATCGTTTTATACTACTACTTTTATTTCTATCTCTTCCATTCTAACATAAGACCAATGCTAGAACGTAGATATTCAAAAATTGCTGGTAAGTTGGCTGCAGTTGAAGCAAGTCAATTTTTTAAATATTCCATGCCTTTGATATAATTTTTAAATACCCAATATCATTTTTTAAATATTCAATATAATTTTTAATATTTGATGCCTTCAATATAATGGGAAGGCCATTTTAGGGCCCATTTTTTTAAGCTATGTCTTGATCTAGACATAGACAAAGAAACAAACATTTCTTTTAAAGTTTATTTTTATGTCTGTATTGGTGCTGATTAGCCCAGAGCATTTAATCTAACCAGTAAAACAACCTTAAAAGGTAGGTTTTATTCTCCCACATACTCCTAGTTGAGTAACTTGCTTAGGGCCACACAAGATTCAGATCTAGCTCTACCTTCTTCCAATACTCATGCTTTCCCCATTACTCCAAAATGTTCTTTTAATCATTTTCCTGCAAATTAGTGTATGCATAATGACGTTAATATTTTAGAATTGTGATTAGGAAGCACACAAACTATGTGCTGCTCCTCGATAAAAGTCCGCCAGTTTGTTAACTGATCTATATTTAATTTTAATCCATCATGACTTGTACTCCCTGATGCATGCTTCTCCTCATGGCTAGTCAGTTACCCAGGTAAACATGTAATGTGGTCCTGATCCTTTAAAAGGAAAGGTAAGGCCCGGCAGGTGCCGCTCTGTGGTTGAGCATGGACCTATGAACTAGGACAGTGGTCGGCAAACTGCAGCTCCCAAGCCACATGCGGCTCTTTGGACCCTTGAGTGTGGCTCTTCCACAAAATACCACGTATGGGCACACACGTACAGTGTGATTGAAACTTCGTGGCCCATGCGCAGAAGTTGGTTTTCGGCCTGGGCGAGTCTATTTTGAAGAAGTGGCGTTAGAAGAAGTGGGGGGTGTCGGTAGGTCAGGCACGGGAGAGTGGCGCAGGTGGGCCGCGGATACGCAGCGCGGGGGAGGCGCACGTGGTTCATGCACGGCTCTTTGGCCCCTTGAGTGTGGCTCTTCCTAAGCCTTAGGAGTACCCTAATTAAGTTAATAACAATGTACCTACCTATATAGTTTAAGTTTAAAAAATCTGGCTCTCAAAAGAAATTTCAATCGTTGTACTGTTGATATTTGGCTCTGTTGACTAATGAGTTTGCCAACCACTGAACTAGGAGGTCATGGTTGGATACCCTGTCAGGGCACCTGCCCAGGTTCGGCTGATCCCCAGTAGGGGGCAGTGCAGGAGGCAGCCAATCAATGATGATTCTCTCATCATTGATGTTTCTATCTCTCTTCTTCTCCCTTCCTCTCTGAAATCAATAAAAATATATTTAATAAATAAATAAAAATAAAATACAGTGATAGGTAAAATTAAAATAAAATGCTAGGTAAACCTAATGAGGTGAGCCCCATAGGAATCACTGGTTTGCGACTCACTCTTTTTGATGGAAGTGTGTGGATGTTGTGGTGGTAGATAAATAGATGAGAACCACTATTCTGGCATGAAATTTCCCTAATAACATTAGACTACTTAATTTATGTGACTGACTAAAAGAGATATGGACAAGCTGAAAACTACTCATAGGCAAAGGCACGGAAAACAGTATCACATAAAAAAGGATCGAGAATTCATATAAATTGGTTCCTTCGCTAAATGTAGAAGAAACATAGGGAGAATAAGGTGATCACAGTTTCTAAATCATTGCAGGGTTGTCCTGACCATGAGTTCTGCCTAAAGTGCCTGACAACTCTTCCCCTTTCCTAATATGTGATCCTCCCCTAATCTGTCTTTCATACCCTCACGGAACTTTGTCCAAAACATGAGCACTTAACATCCATACTGATGTATGGCCTGAGTCATGTCTGTCCCGTCCACCAAGACATAATTCCTCGCGGGAAATGAAAGAGTCTTGTTCATTACTGTACCCTCAGTTTTGTATTTACATGCTGCCCAACACATAATAGGCATTCAAAAAAGAGAAGTCTATGCAGCTGGACTGTCCTTGTTGCAAGAAGAAGGGTTCAATATACAATAACACTCTCTAAAAAGAATCAGAGACGTCAAAAGGTAAGATGTGCTGCATGCCTTATGAGCATAGGCAGTTTTACCTTGCCCTTCGCTCATGCTGCCCTGCCTTCCCCCCACCCCCA